CTCTGCGTGTATGTGTGAACGAGAGAGTGAGTAATTCTGTCCCGGCAGCCACGACAAGCTTGATCAACAAGTGCGCCATTCTACAAGCAAGTACAAGACAGCTTCTCGTACGTTACAGTCCGAGCCCACGCCTGCACTACCCTCGCAAAACGTCTCGGGCACTGATGCTGATAGTTACTGTAGTGGTTTATAGGCCTATTGGAAGTATGCCAGTTTGCCACAGGCCCACCCCGCCTCAACTGTGCCCTGCAATATCACCATGATGGAAGTTATCACTCGACACTCTCAAAAAGAGTAAATGAATGATTGATTGATTGATTGTATGAATTGAATTGAATTTTTCAATTGTTCTTAAAATAACGAAAGAACATTTATTGTTGAAATTTTAGATTTACAAATTACTAGATCTACTTGCTTTGATTTGCAGTAAAAAAGGAGGAAAATTGAACAACACAAGCTGATTTGACATTTTAGAAGGACTATCTCTACACCAATAATTTGAAGGTGGAGAATAAAAAAAAATGTTAACTTAGAACTACAGTGTAGTAGTGTAATTATGACTGTCATCAATGCTCAAACACTTTTTGAAATTGTGACAAACTGGGCAGCCCCCGGCCTCTAGGCCTAGCTAATACGCGGGCCTCTAGGCCTAGCTAATAATTTAATACGCGGGCCACAAAACACAGATCACGTGTCAACTGGAGGGCCCATATAGCCTAATGGCAGATCGGAGGCGGATAGCATTCGGGTCGGTTGAAGGCACCTAGAAGCTAGAATTCTGTGGTTGAAGGACAACTCGAAAGTGTTTATTATGTTGTCGCCTTTGTCCAGAGCATAGCCCGCTGCTGTGTTTGTGGCCGATCAGCTGTGAAGTACATCTTGCTGATATCTAGGCCTTACACAGGGAAACTGGCGCACCACTGCTGCGACCTCCTCGAGACAAGCTGTCAACCCAAGGGCCACAGAGACGAGACTTCTTTTTTCCGGTATAGGCTAGGCTAGGCTAGATCTAGAGTTCTTCTAGAGTGGCGAAACACGCGGAGGTTTGTGCCTTTGGGTGGGGAGGTGGGACACAGCTGGGCGCTAGCGTCTAACAACAGCCCGTCTTTCTACTTTCTACAGATAGATGATAATGGGGG